ACAATAGAGGTCCAATGAACCTTGCCTAAAACTCTGAGAGAAGAAGTAAGTTCTTCATGCATTAAAGAAGCCTGGGTGGATTGTAATTTTCTTCCCTAATCTTAAAGAGGGGTGAGGTAGGGACAAGAAACAAAGTGTGGTGAAGACTTTATAAATATAAACAGGAAAACAAATGTCATTCGCAGTTTCAATTTTTAAAGAGTACAAATAACTACAATTTTTCTGATGATAAATATAATCTTTATCTCAGCTTACACCAGGACACCAAAGCGTTCCTAGAAACATAAAAGTAAATGGTACACTTTTACTTGTACTGTTATAACCAAGTAGGTTATAGTTGCATAGATGATTTTTAATAACATTTTATAAACAGAGATGACTGGGATGCCCTACTGGTTCCAGTATACTGCCACTAATTAATTATGTGACCTGGGGACAAACATAGAGGTTTCCATCTCAGAGTGCCAGTATTTATTTTTGAACATGAACCACACATTCCGAAAGACTCCATCTTCCAAATACATTTTATTTAACAATAACTGTTTGCATTATCCCATGTTTAAAACCAAGCATATAGCTATCAGTCAATGCTGCTAATTATTATGACATCCTGTAGGTACAAATTATTAATAGTTAATAAGATAGCCAAAATCAAAGGAACTGGATATTCTTAAAAATCAGTACAGCCTTACTATGGGTAAATTCTTAATTTCCCTTGTTTTAACATGTTGAAAATGGCACCCAGACCTCCAAAACCTCTATACAGTGCTGTTGAGTCCATCAATCGATGACAGTCAGCCCCACATTCTGATAAAAGTGAAGCAATTATGAACTATCGACAGCTGATACATTAAACAGCAGTGACTTGCTCATTGTCAGTGCCACACTGGTATTTGTTGGATGCATGAATATCCTTCAAAGTAATATGCGAATCAAGACTTAGTCATGACACCTGTTAAGTTTGGTAGAAGTCTTGCTACATATATACATATTTTTTAAATCAAGAAAATAAATTAATTACTGCAGTTTCATGGAGAGCATCCTTTATATTTACCTTGTCTACTCCCTCTCCATACCATAACTCTTAGCACAAGGAAGCTGCTTACGTATTTCCTTTCTTCATGTCATCTACTCTCCTCAGCATGAGTACACGTAAGTAGGCGGCAAGAAATATGAAAAGTCTGAGATTTTACCCTACTTGTAAGCTAACACAGTAGCTTCAGTTGCACAGATATAGGAAGAAGACCCGAGGATCCGGGGTATGGAAGCACTTGGTGAGCAGTTTAGTAAGATTACTTGTCTAGTAATCTATCAAGCACTCTTCATCTCCAAAGTTGTGAAATACCTCCAGATTCTTTTACAGCATTTCTTGCCACTCTTCATTACTGGCAAATTAACTCTAAGATAACTTCCTGAATGATTCCAAGAAATGATATCTGACATTAAGAGAGATAAAACAGAGCCAACATGGGAGAAGAAAAAAACAAAAGTATAGTCATGCAATTCTGATAACTACTGACAAGCGTTAGAGAAGGAAGAAAAAAAAATGTATAATTTCTGTATGTTCAATAAGCTCCTAACTTGCTACTTTGAAAAAGACAACATGCAATCAAAACTAAACAGCCACCACAGCTTCCTTAGCCAGGTTACTGATGTGTTATCTACATTAGAATATAAAATCCAAGACCTAAGGGACTATTTTTAGTTAAACACTTAACAGATCATGTCCAAGCCACCGTATAACAAATACCATGTAGAAATCAATGCAATAATTTAATTTGCCATTTGCTTAATTGTCTTCCTTCTTTGCCTATTAAGGCTGACAAACTCACGTACATTCAGAAGCCAAGATGGTTATTTAAAAGAGAGAAGTAGGTCAAATGGAGGTAGGGCTGTGGACAAATGCATGATCTTCCCCTAGTCATTCAAACTCTACACTTCCCTCTGGATAATTCATCTAGTGTCATTCCTTAACTAACTGTCTATATTCTGTAGGTTCCCAAATTTTTATCACCACCTGAAATTCATCCTCTTAGTTCTAAACTCTCTCACTCTCCTGCCTAACTTATATCTCTACATAAATAATCTCACAGCCTTATGGAACTTGAAGATGTCTAGTGCTAAACTCTTTATTATTTCTCTACCAATGCTATGTTTACTGTCCAAAATGTTTCATTTAAGTAAAGCTGGAAACTGGAGTCACTGAGTCCTCCCTTTCCACAAACTATATCTAAATTCATCATCAAATTGAATTGATGCAGGCTTCAAAATATGTCTCAAATCTGTTCATTCTCTTCATCTCCCCAGCCACTTCTCTAGTTAAAACCAATGTCATCTCCTATTTGGATTACTACAGTAGCCCCCTAAGCAGTTTCTCTCCTCTAAAACTGTGTTTTCTTACATTGTGTTTGTCTATTTGGCATCCATTTATCACAAGGCCAGTTATATCAACCCTATTTCATTATTTTCTGTATTCCGATGCTCTGGCATTTGTGGCCTCACTGGATGGGAAGAGACTATCCTCCCAGAGCCAGCCAATTCTTAGTGCAAAGGGCTGGCCTGGGATCATGTCCTTCATATGCAACTAACCAATCCAGAGACCACACCTTCAACCATTTCCTTTATCAACTTCTCATCAGCAAGTCCCCTTCCCTGAATCTCCCAGGGCCAGGTACCAGACAACCAGGTATCACCCCTACAGCCCAGAGCCCACTGAAATTACTCAAACTAGCCAGTCCTAAACTGTTTCCTCTGCTCTTCCCTTTCCCATAGAAACCCCAGTAAAGGCTATGGCCCAGGCTTTCCCTTCCTCCTTCTGCCTCCTGACCAAACCCAGTTCTTCCTCATGTGCCCCATTGTGAGAAATGTAAATAATAAAATGACTTACATTTAATGTAAGTGCCCCTTCCTCTTGAGAAATGTAAGTAATAAAAATAATCTTTCGATGGCATTGGCCTCTCCATGTTGTCACTCAGTCACCTCCATAAATTAAAATCCCCTGATACAACCGATACACTCCCCATTTGTACCACTTACTCTTCAATCCATTCTCCAGGAAGTGGCTAAAACTATTTCAATATGTAAGTAGATGTAAATAATTATGAAAGGTCTGAGATTTTACCCTATGTGCAAGCTAACATGGTAGCTAGCCTCAGTTTCATGGCTACAGGAAGAAGACGCGAGGATACAGGGTATGAGGGCACTTGGTGAGCCGTTTACCCAACCAAGTGATCAATATCCTAGGATAATTCAATCTAACAAGAAAACTCAAGTGGCTGAACCAGAATAAATTTGGATTCCTGTTCCATCTTTTGACCAGGCTGCCACCCAGCAGATGTACCAAAGAGTCTGGCCTGAGATAGGTATTAGGAGAAAGGAAGACTCATCATGTCTAGGAATGGTCAGGATGATATCCTGAATTTTCAGAATAGTTCTGTATAACCTCTCTTTTCTTTCATCCTGATCATAACCAAGAAAGGACAAAAAGAGGATGATCCCTAACTGGGCCAGTTGCATTTCATGACCCAACAGTCTTATTAACGTGTCCAAACCAGGAGGAGATTAGGGAGGTAGAGTTTTAAATCTTTTTGAGTTGATTTTAGGAAGTCATTCCAACACTCAACAATACAAAGTGCCTATGGACTGTAGGGAGCATGGAAAGACTATCAAATACTTTGACTATCAGCCCTGGCTTCTGCAATAAAAGGTGCACCACTGGCTCTGACTAACTGGAATGCACCTGGCAAACTCATAACCTGAAAATGTGTCAGTAGCAGTGAGGCACCACCGCCAGTTTAAGAGGAGTCCAATGCAGTAAATCTGTTAAGAACTGGCAGAAGTAACTCCCTGTATGTACAGTGTGTCTTCCTTCATTGAGACAAACAGGTCAACTATTGGCAGGAGCCCCAAGTCTGTGATGCCAGTTACCTCGATATCAGAAACACGTATCACCTTGTGCCCAGTCTGTGCTGTGAGTGTGTTGCCTGTCAAGCGCTCCGATGAAGCGAGGCAGCAGTGGTGGCAATCTGGGTGGTGCAAGTGGAACCAGCAGCTTGATTCCCACTGCTTTTCATCAGAGAATGGGCCCTTACCATCTATATAAATAACTGTGACAGTCCAACCATTTCCACAGCTTGTGGCCCCAAAAAGGGGAGTTTATAATCTTCCAGTTAGCATTTTTTCAAGTGGCAGCCCAAACAACTAGGGTCATTGGCAACACTTCCAGAGACAGTAAAAACACAGCAAGATTCATTAAGGGGAGTATTGGCCAGGGCTAAGAGCACTGCCTTGAATGTGAACACTGAGCACAGAAACAATGTCCATTTCTGGTTGAGTAGGTGATGGTGAGGCTGAACACAACCCACTGGATACCATTAGGTTTCAGGTTAGTTGATCCATAAGTGCGGCAGGCCCAGGCACTTAGGGGAACCTTGGTGAATCAGGCAGCAGAGTGGGGGATGAGAGCTGCCACTTTCTCAAGTGAGATTAAGATGCTGCTTGCCTCAGGCTGGCTGCATTCCTAAATTTACCACTTCTATTGGACAACCCAGGTCTGTTGAGCCTTTCCCTTGTCATTCATTGAGTATGACTGGACCCCAAAGTGGGAATATCAGACTCCAGAGTTACAAGGTCTCGCCGGGCGCAGTGGCTCACATCTGTAATCCCAGCACTTTGGGAGGCCGAGGCAGGTGGATCACGAAGTCAGGAGATCGAGACCATCCTGGCTAACACGGTGAAATCCCATCTCTACTAAAAATACAAAAAATTAGCTGGGCATGGTGGCTCTGTGCCTGTAGTCCCAGCTGCTGGGGAGGCTGAGGCAGGAGAATGGCGTGAACCCGGGAGGCAGAGCTTGCAGTGAGCTGAGATCGCACCACTGCACTCCAGCCTGGGCAACAGAGCAAGACTCCGTCTCAGAAAAAAAAAAAAAAAGAGTTTCAAGGTCTCCACAGGCCAGGCATCTAGTTAACTAGAAGGGACCCTTTTCTAAAGGAATATACCTGTTTTAACGTCAGAGCTATGAGTCCAGAACTCCAAGGGTGAATGCTGCTTCCTTTTGCCAGAGCCTCCAATCAGAAAAACCATGAGTCATAGAGAACTGAAGCTCCAAAGAGGTCATTAGGGTTGTGGGGCCCCAAAGGGAGAAGCACTTCTGTACTTGCAGCTCTTCCTGGTCAGGAGACTCCCCTCTGGACTTCATAAACATTCACAGTACAGTCATCTACAATTCAGCAGGGGAAGCTACAACAAAGACACACTAACTGGAACAAAAGGCCCCACCCATAAGCTCTGCTAGCTTTCTTCCCCCACTGTAAACCATGTTCAAACCACCATGGCTGAATTCAGCTATCCCCTCCTTCATTGGACTGGGCAGGATGATAAATTGGGCCAGTTAATACTTCCTTAATGTGTATCTCACAGAGCCATAAAAGTTGAAGTCCTTGCCCTCGCCAGAGTTTCCCAGCATACTTGGAGAGAGACATGTAAGAATTGCGGTCTTCCTTCAGGACAGAGAGAACTCAGCTCCATTCTCTCCTCCTTGAAGAAGCTAAAGCTGAAGAAGAGTCCAAGGCTGGGGATCAAGGGGCAGAGAGGGAGAAAACAGTTCTGTGTTAGTAAACAAGATGTATTTACTTTCAGGTTTGATTGTCAGCTGGCTCAAGGCTCAATCAAATAAACTTCTACTATTTTCATTCCATGCAATGCTCTATATTTGGCAGCAAGATCATTACAGACACCATCTATTCCAGTTCTGGGAACCCCTAGACTTAGCAGCCATAACCACTTTCTGGCTGTGGCTAGAGTATTTGTTCCATTTGCTTGATTTGGGCTTGACCTGCACAGCAGCTATTTTTCTAAGGAGTCTGTTTCAATTGAGGGCATTTATTGCCCCATTATGATAACATCTCTAACGTTCTATCACTGCTTCAACAAAAGAATTATGAGAGTTTTGAGAGGCAACAGGGGTGACAGTAAGAATTTGTCTAGATTTCATTAGGTCAGTTTCTCGTTTTCCAACAGGTAATCTTCATCAGCATTACAAACCCATTCTAGGGCAATAAGGGCCCAAAGACTAGTCAATACCTCATCTATGGTTTCCTATGGGAGCTTTTCTCTTTCAAGGAAATCTCCCCCAAGGCAGCAGCCTGGCCCCACTCTAAGACATTCTAAGTCTCCTAGTGAATCTAAGGTTGGCATGATAGTCTACAGGAGGGGATAAGCTGTAAAATGGTGCAACTAAAGAACCTTGAGGGCTAATACTTCCTTAACAAGTATTACATACCCCACACATTCATCTTCTAAGTGAACTACCCAAGGTTATAGTTATTTGCTTGGTTTCTACCTACAGTGGGTACAAATTTTCTTCCTTGTAGGCCAGAGCACGAAATTATAACTGTTGTTACAACGAGGGTCAGAACCTTCCTCCAGAAGGTCACTGGCCTACTTGTCACAATGGGTGGACCTGAGATTGTCAAAAACATCTCCATGCCTGGAATAGGACTAGCAATATCCAGGGCACTTTTCAGACAGCTGACTTTGAACCTACCTTCAGGTACTTAGATTGCATTCATCTCTCCAATTCTTCCTCATCAACAGACAATAAAATGGAGGGTCATTTATTCCCTAACTGACCAAACAAGTTGATCAGCATGTTCACTAATGATGTTCATGAATTTCTCTCAAATCTCATCAATTGGCCCAGGAGGGCCTCATCCTTTCTCTTCCAGAAACTCATGTCTCTATCAGGACCCCCTCCTCATCACTAAAACTGCCAACAATTACGGAGGGTCTGAGTTTTATCTTATTCACAAGCTAACAAGTTAGCCCGCCACAATTTCACAGAAGATGGCAGAATATACAAGACTTCCGGATTAAAGACTTACTATTCACAGTAATGAGACTTATTACTTCCAATAATGGAAGTTCAGGTATCAGCATTTTCTTGTGACAGTTCTCTGATCCCCAGTTCCCTCAAGGTGACATGACACCTGCACATGCAATGGACTGTATTGCAGCAAAACGACCCTGAATGTAGGGACATCAAATATTTTTTATAATGGGCAGTAAACATGCCTTCCCTTGGTTCCAAAGGAAGACATTATCTTTATTATTATACTGGACAGTAAGCATGCCTGCCCTTTGCTATGGAGGGAGGTACTATCACTTTCTTCTAAAGTTATTCACAAACGTCCTTGAAAAGAGAGTCTGTGACAACGGCAGTCAATACCTTCACTCCTAATACATACAGAAATGTGAGAGACCCATGGAGAACTGCCTTCTTCCAAGAGTAGGTTCACAATATTCCAGTCTAAAGCCCCTCTGTGTCTTCCCTATGCAGTTAGGACAATTCTAACTCTCAAAGCATACAAGAAATGAAGTTCTTCTCTCTATTCCATAAATATCCCAATCTCTATCCCATTTCAGGACCTTTGTGCCTATGGGTGTATGTGATAAGAGAAAGAGGAGTATCGAGAATGCCATTCCAGTTTCTGACTAAATAGACACAGGGAAGACTATCTGAGGAGGGTGCAGAGGAAAGCTGGTTAGAGAGGAACATGACCAGGCAACCCTCCCTCTATGAGCCCAGCTCCCCTCACTCTCCACATCTGTGTTGAAATGCCACTTTCTTATGGTATCCCAGTTCACCACTATATTCACAGAGACTGGCTTGTCATAAATGCTCAAAAAATGGTTGTTGTAGAATCTGACACTCAATTTTTTTGAAAAATGAAAATAATACTTGTTTGATTATGGTGATTATACAAGATATCCTGAAAAGCATCTAACACATTGGTTGGCATACAGTAGGTACTCAGATGTCATTCTCTTTTCCCACAACCCTTTCATAGTCACCGTAGCATCTGTTTCTCTCAGACAGAGCATGTATTTATAGCGCTCGTTATGACAGATGACGAAACTGGAGCTCACTGTCCTACGGCTTCTCCTAAATAATAAAGTAAGTAAAAGAAGTCTTCTGACTCCTAGCCTACTAAGCCGTAACACTGAAATTATCCTATTTGATATTAAGTAGGTATGTTCATAAGACATAATATCTTTACTTGTAAATGTTGTCTAATTAAATCACAAAGGTTTGTTTTTACCTTAATGTAGAAGAAATCATTTTCTCCCTTTTCTCATATTTTTGTTCCATTTTATACAATAAAATCTTTCTTGTGAGTATCAGGTATTACTTCTTTCCTTTCTGATGAGTAACAGAAGAATAGGTCACAGGGCAGATTTCATTAACCCTTCCTGGGCTACCTTCTTCAGATGCAGCCTGCCTTCCAGATGTACATAGTGTTCTTTCTGTCTTCTGGTTCTGGAGACAGAGGTCTGATTGCATTTGTTAAGTTCAGCTTGGGTAAAGAAGGGGAAGCATGATTTAGGCCTTAGGTTCATGGACAGCTGTCCAATCTGGGTTTATTAACAATAAACCTGGTATTGTCATTTTTGTCTAACTCCTGTGATTATTCACAATTGATTTCAAACTCTTAAGAGAACGGGATAAGAGTGGCTCCTCAGACATCATCAGCTTTATGTAAATATCTCCCTCATTTAAACATGATTTATTTTTTTGGCAAAATTTTCAAAGTAAAATCAATTTTACAATTAGGAATAATCAAACATCACTGCCTGACCTGCTGAGACAACATATATTCCAACAATCCAATGGACTCTCACACAGAAGCTACTGGCTATTACTTTACACATGCTTAATAAACAAAACATGTTGGTTTCTATGTCTGCAGCTCCTCAAAAACAAAAAAGGGAATAGCTGAAATCAAATGAGAACAACCCAATAGCAGAGAAGACAGAAACACTATGATTCAGACATAAGAATTCAAAAGATCTTACAGGGCAATGGGCCTTTCACACCTCAACAGTCCATTAGGGTTTAATTTCAGTGACTGATTACGTAATAATGGCCTCAGACATCAGAAAAGTATGAAACTGTTCAGCTAGGAAATTTTCACAGCAGAAAGAGCCCAGGACTAGGGGTCAAAGAAGGCTGGAGCGCTCATCCTCCCCTCCTAGCAGGGTGACCTTGGGCAAGTCAGCCCCCTTAACCCTCAGTGTCTATACATGGAAACAAAAAAACAATGTCTTCATCTCAACTACTTACTTTAAGCTGTAAAGGTGTTTTATAAACTATACAGGATTCTGTATCTTTTGTCAGACCAGTCTTCTCTATGTTTCCTGTGTTCTAGTCACACTGAATTTCTGTCAGTTTCTTGAAAACAAAAAGGGCCTTTTTTTTCTTACGAGGCCCCTTTTCCTCATTTCCAGTGCCTGGAATGCTCTCCCCCGCATTCTGTAAGGCGGCTGGCTCTCATCCTTCAGATCTCAGCTTAAATTTCACTTTCCCAGAGACACCTTTCCTGACCACTCAAGCTACAGTAGTTTTTCCCCTGTTTCTTCTCATAGTGCCCTCTTGTTTTTCTTTTTAGCAATTATCACAATATGTATATCATTTATGTATGTTTGTGTTACCTGTCGAGCGCGTGTCTTCCTACTAGTTCATACACTCTGTAAGTCCGTTTTTCCATCAGTTTATGTACAAGGCTTAGCACAGTGCCTGGAGCAGAACAGCACTCAACAAATTTTTTGTTAAAGGCTTAATGAATGAATATACAAATGTAAGGCAATAATACCCGGGTATTTTACAAAGCAGATACATGTAAAATAATGTTTAGAAAAATGCTCAATCAAAATAGTTCAACTAGAAAAAAATGGTGCTTTAAGTGGGTAAAACCTAGAATATCTGAAAATCCCAACATTTGATGATTCCTTTTCACTGTGAGATCCATATAGAAGTATGACTTTATAGATGCACTTCCAACAAAAAGGGAGTTTTTAAAATTAACTTATTAATTTTCTCATTTGCGCTTGTGAGATCATTCTTGTCTTACTTTCACTGAGGAAAATAATTGAAAATTCAAATATTTATCAACTTCCTCAAGGTAACAAAAATAATACTCAACAGTCAAGATTCAAACTCAAGTCCAGTACCTTCCAATACACTAGATTGCCTCTACTTTAAAGAGAAAGCTCTGTTCAGAGGGCTCACTAAAAACACTTGTGTTTCTATTAAACTAGTTTCAGACCACTGTGCTTTGCTCTGTTGAAGCATAAACTTCAATAAAATTAACAGTAAGTAAACAGCAGCTGTGAAGCTATTCGGAGGTTCACTTCAGAGTTTGTTTTCCTTTAACATTTGCTTTAATTCAAACCATAAAGAAAGGAAAATATTATATGGTAGCAAGACTTAGCAATACTTCAGATAAACAGTGCCTAAACAGATATAGATGATATAGATAATTATTTTTCTCAAAAATATAAATATTTCATATTATATATAATTTTACAGAACTGTATAAAAATGATTACATAAGTATTTTATACATAACATAACAATAAGCATTACCGCAGCGTGAAATCTGTGCCACAGGAAAAACTATCAGAAAGACCCTTTTACCTTCCTTTAACCATTAATACAAAACAAACACAACACCAGCAGAGTCCCTCCTCGTGTGAAGTGCCTCCTAAGAGAAATACTAGTAAGACAGCTGC